AGTCAAAGAGATCGAAAAAGAAAATAACTTTGAATACAATAAATAATACAGTCTGGAGCTGACCAGTCCCAGTTGAGAGCGCCAGTTCACGAATATGACACTTACACCACCACCGCTCAACTCAACCATATTGTAGGGAAACCGAGCGATCCATTGCACGTGCCACAGCCAATGAGATCTTTGAGTGAGCATGACAACTCCAAGCTGACAGTCAACTCAATCTTTAAGAAATTGCAATTTTATGACGTCAGAGTTCTTGCGTTGATGGCGTAATTTTTGTCATTGTATGAAGAAAAAACACGTCATGCAAAGCAATCACTTTAAACCTACGACCATTACAGAAGCACTTCAGGTTAACAAAATTTCTAATACAAAAGTGATCCATGACAATACAGTCTGTAACATCCCCAGGGATGTAATAATATCATGGAGCTGTCTAGTAATGTCATTAACCTATATTTTGGTGACCTTGTGCACCTTTGGTCAAAGAATAGGTCACCCCATCTCCCGTGGGCATCATAAAAGTTGACATTAACATTTTATTGGATACGACATGTGTTGTCCAACGATTGAACGCGAGTGACATGAAGTGATTGTACTTTTGCAGTGGAAAATGAACTCTTTAATATTGAGTGTGAAGTTCATTTTTACCTTTTCAGTTTTATTGGTACAAATACATTGTGAGTTTTTGAGTTTTATTAAGTTTTAACTATGTATATCTGTTTATGGAGAAGCGACCTTAAACTAGAAGACATAGATCTGATATTCCTTATTAGATTTCCAGATTTGTGACTGACTAGTGTAACAGTAATGAAAATTTTTATATTAACGACATCGTCAAATTTCTCTAATTACGAAGAAATCTTTATAAAACAATGACGTTGAAAACAAAGGCGGGCATAATGTCACTTAGAAATGATTGAAGCACCAAAATATCAGTGGATATATGTATTATGTGTGTGTGTGTGTGTGATGGGTTTACCACCACGTTACCAGACTTGTTAGACTTTGAAAAAAAAAAGTCGTAATGACCCGGAAGTTTAAGACGCCCACTTCTCATGCATGAGGGTGCGGGTTCGAACCCTACAAACGGCAATACACATGTGACTTTTTCCGAGTTATGTGTACTTTCTAAGATTATTAGGTACATACACCATTGATAAACGGTGAAGAAAAACATCGTGAGGAAACCTAGGCTTATAAATTTCTAATTATAAGTTTGAAATCACCAACCTGCATTGAGCAAGCGTGATTAATGCTCAAACCTTCTCCGTGTGACCGTGTGAAAAGAGGCTTTGCTCAGCAGTGGGCATTTATAGGCTGTTGGTGGGTACTAGATTTAAGAAAATGACAAAAGTTCATCATATCAATGTGTGTATGTTCTAAGTGTAACTGTATAGTAGCCAAATGCTCCAGTCGTCGTCGTCTTAAAATACTATGAATTACCACCAATTTCATAAACCAACCTCAACCATCATAACTTCTTCCTGCAACACTGACAGCTATTTTAAAAAGAAACCTTAATTCTTTAGCAGCAAAACCCACATTTGAAAGAAAAGTATTTTCAAAAGAGTTGATAAAAATGCATGACGATCCGACTGTTCGTGAGGCAGGTGTGACGTCACAAAGGTAACTAAATGAACGTACATGTCAGGGCAATCCATCAAAGGATTTTAGAGAACCACGGATTAATTTGTGAAAAATTGGATTGAGCCATGAAAAAGTTATAGGCATGGTGTAATATGGGGCCACAGAGTTAGAAGTTTGTCTGTTTAACAAAAGTGACTTTCTTGTTCTAAGTGTTATTTATTTAGATTTTTTTAAATATAAGTTATATAAAAAGCCAAAATTGTAATCAGCATTGATTTGTCTCTAATCATTAATTTAGTTTAAGCAAATACGAAAGCCAAAATCATAATATTTTTTAAAAAAACTACATAAAAATGTTTAATTATTAATAATTTTAGTTATTTTATTACAACTTTCTTGCTTTCAAATACGCAGATGAAAATAAAATGCCGAGTTTTTCATAATAAATGTATTCGTAATTGTAATAAATGTAAGTAATATATCATTATTTAATTATATCAATATCGACAGCACAATCTATACTTGCTTCACCTAGCTTCCCTGACGGACTGACTGATAGACTATTATTTATTTTGTATTTGATGACGTTTCAAAAGTACCAATAAATGAAATAAATGCTTTGACTTTGACTTTATTTTATAAAAAAAAATCTATTGCAACTTTCAATGCACTCAGAACAAACAAAATCCACTGCTACAAACATTTACAAATACGCTGTTTTCACGGCTCCATTTCCAAATTAGGATAATCTGATCAAGTTACAGCCATCCCAGGAACGCTGGCTTCTTTCATCAGTATTACCACCTCACTTCATTACTGAGTATTGCTCAGTATAAAAATATATGGCGAAAATTCTGTATGTATTTGAAATTTAATATCGCAAGACCAGTGCAAAGAATCCTTCTTTTTCTACGAGCCCGTACGCTGCGCTGTTCGTGTATTACTTTTTTCGTATTTATTTTGTTTGAATTGAAGCGGTTTTAGTTTTATGATGAGTTGTCTAAGAGTGTTTTAAAAGCTTTTAAGATAGCTGTAATGGAAAATGGGTATGTGTTAGTCTCTTTTGTTTATCAAATTGTAATAATATAATATTAAAGCTACATTATGAACATTAACTAATCTATATATATGTTACCGGCCAAACCCGATTTCAGGACAAACTAGTTTTGCCTAGGCTAAACTAGTTCTTCCTATACGCGTTAGGATTAACTAGTATAGCCTAGTACAAACTAACTTATCCTAAGCCCGATAGGATAAACTAGTTTAGGCTAGGACAAACTAGTTGATCCTGATATAAATACGCACACTCTAGGATAGACTGGTATGGCCTAGTCATAATATGATTATTGCGTCTATTAAAAAAACAGTGTGACTGCCTCATTGACCGAGTGGTCGCAAGTGTGACTGCCAGGCAAGGGGTCTCGGGTTCGATTCTCGGGTCGGGCAAAATATTACTGAGTTAAAAAAAAATCTCAGTTGTAACACGTAGTCTGGAATTGTGACCGGTATATGGCAATAGGCTCACCCCCTATTACATGGGACTCTTAACATCAATAGTGAAAAGTGGGTGTTACATTGTCAGTGGCATAATGTGCCTTCGGGAATAAAAAGCCTGATATTTGATAAAAATAGTATTATTTGTTATAGTATGATTGTTTGTATTGCCAATTATTATCTATAACTTGTAGCGACGAATCATTTTGATTTTAAATTAATAACAATTTAAATAATTGTTGCTTCTCTCAAAAACACTTATTATTTGTTATAGTATGATTGTTCGTATTACCAATTAACCATAAGTTTTAACGATAAATCATTATGGTTTAATAAAAATGATTATTTTTCAATTACGGAGTATTTTATTAAATTTATCTATTGATTTTGACGTTCTAGATATATTAGAATGTTTAGACTAGGCCATACTAGTATATCCTAGAGTGTGCGTATTTATATCAGGATCAACTAGTTTGTCCTAGCCTAAACTAGTTTATCCTATCGGGCTTAGGACAAATTAGTTTGAACTAGGCTATACTAGTTAATCCTAACGCGTATAGGAAGAACTAGTTTAGCCTAGGCAAAACTAGTTTGTCCTGAAATCGGGTTTGGCCGGTAACATATATAAAAATTAAACCCGTTTCCCGTTATCACGCCATAACTTGAGAACGGCTAGACCGATTTGGCTGATCTTTTTATGTTGCGATTGTTATTGTCAGGAGAAGGTTCTTACGAAAGAAAAAAATCTGAAAATCCTATGGGAAAGGGAGAAAACGGGCTTGCGCGTACGAAGTCGCGGGCAGGAGCTAGTAATCAATAAAGACTTATCTATTATTTTGTAACTTTACCTGTTTCAAAATGAATTAATTTCGGCAAAATAATAACATATGTCAATACAATCAAGAGTATTTAAATAATATTGAATTTTGTGGTTTTCGTAGCAGGCTTCCCTTATGTATGTGGTGGGGTTCGCGATAATGTTACACACCCAAACATGCATATCTAATATCATATAGGTAGCAGACAGACACTTTAGTGCAAAATTTTAGCACAATGCAAGCGGAACCCGACGTTGTATAGACGAGGAAATAAAACCTTAATTCAGTTCGTATTAGGGTTTAAATTTTTTTGAATATTAATGTGTAAGTCAAGTTCTCAGTTTAATGAAACTCAACTCAGTTATTCAACCCAGTAGTAGATAGCTTCGACAAAATGAATCGTATAGTAAACGAAATAATATAACATAAATATAACATCGCGCCTTTTATCCCCGAAGGGAAAGGCAGAGGTGCTCATTATGACACTGTACAATGTAACACCCACTTTTCACTATTTATGTTATGAGTCCCATGTAATAGGGGGTGAGCCTATTGCCATATACCGGGCACAATTCCAGACTCCGTGCTGCATCTGAGATTTTTTTTTAAACCCAGTAATACTTTGCACTATTCGTGATTCTAACCCGAGATCCTTTGCCCGGCAGTCGCACTTGCGTCCACTCAGCCAACGAGGCAATCAATCAGAAACGAAATAAAGTAGTGATTTTATTGTAACATGGTTAACATACAATTTTAAGAGATGATGAAGACAAATCATCCTGAGAAACTATTCTTACACACTTCTTTGGCTTCTATCAAATTAATTTCTACAGCATTTAACTGCCACCCTTATTTAAAACGGTGGGAGTAAACGTTAAATGGGACCCGGCAGGCCAGTGTACTCTGTTGTTCGTATTTAATTTTATCCCAAGGCACTGGACAGTGGGTCCTCGACGTAATTAACTTAGTTACCGGCTCACAGTAGATACGTCTAACTGATGAGTTTGTGTTACACTGTTGTAACTACGGTTAAGCAATTGTTTTGAATAAGAACAAAACACTGTACTGTATTATATTGATCTTATTTGTGATACAGCCATGCTTCGGCACGAATGGGCCGCCTCGACCGGAGTGATACCACGGCCTCACAGAAAACCGACGTGAAACAACATTTGCGTTGTGTGCATGAGGTTACCGGAGGCTCAATTATTTAGCCTTATGTTTCTTTGCTTTCCCCTAAGACGGCGACGGTTAACTCTTACGGTTCACTTTTACTATCCACGGGAAGAGAAGGGGTGGTGAAGAATGTATTTCACTCTGACGTCACCGACAGTTTTACATAATGTCACTTTTGCTTGACAAATGCTATTATAATATTGACGACTTTCTTAATGATGACTTACTGACTTATTAATAATACCTTTACCTTTAATTTCATCTTTCTTGACATTCAATAATTATAATTAGTTCAATTCTTAATTTATTGGTTTGTATAAGTTAAACTTGTAGATAAATTGATTAGGAAATACTTGCATGCCATAATGGCAAAATGTGGAGAACCATACTATAAATATTAAACACCTTTTGTATATTTTGATTAATAAATGATTTGATTTGATTTGATTTGATTTGAATGTCTGGTAATATATAATAATTCAATACGAAAGTTGTTATAGACATGTTAGATTTGCGTGGAACTCGAACCACGCCTTTAATGCACTATGAACATCAAGATGAATTAAAGAAACCGCTTGAATGCATCGATATGAAGCAATAGAAAATATATTGTGTCTCTCGTGGACCCAGGTTTTAGACACATGTAAGTACTAAACTGCATCATAATTTATTCATTCAAATGATAAATAGTCACATGTCTATACTTTGTCAGAACATCACTATTCATTATTAAATACAGCCAAAGTAATTTTGTTCGTGGTATGTAAAATTAAATTTTATTCAAATTGCTTGCAACAAATAACAAATTGAAACTTTTTTCATTAAAACTAATGAAACGAAAAATGAATTTAAAAGAACAAAATAAATTGAAAACATGCACTACGCGATCGAGTGACTATCAAGATTAAATTATTGTAAACTTTTTATGTATTATTTTTATATATTAGTTTACAAAATCACATTATGCCGATGCTTTATTGCGTGGCGTAAAGAAAAGCAACTTGCACATTATATAAAATACTTAATTGTTTCTAGTAAAAATTGCGTTTGAGATACACCGACATACCCCTTCGGGGATAAAAGGCGATGTTATGTTATGTAGGCAGAGGTACAAATTACGGCACTTAATGCCACTGTACAATGTAACACCCACTTTTCAATATTTATATTATGAGTCCCATGTAACAGGGGGTAAGCCTATTGCCACATACCGGGCATATTTCCAGACCCCGTACTACCACTGAGATTTAAAAAAAAATCAGTAATGCTTTGCCCGACCTGAAAATCGAACCCGAGACCCCTTGCCCGGTAGTCGCAACTTGCGACTACTCGGCCAGCGAGGTAGACACGCTGACATCAGACCAATTTTTCAATCATTGCATTTCATGTGCAGTCAAATTAAAACCGCCTTATCATTTACAACCACATGTCATGTCTTTTCATTCAAAAATTCTCAAAAAATGTATTGAATAACAAGTAAAGGAACCCTACAATTCAGTAATGGACACTGGCTTTTGGCGACGAAGATGTATACTTGCCTTTCTAAAAAAATATCTACTCACACACTGACAAAATAAAACGAATGCACACGTCATGTCGTGTGTACATAAAAATAAAGCATCCCACAGACCCTAGTCCATCATCGTACATTTTTAAAATCCCACGTTGGGTCTACGTGACCCTACGAAAACATTAAAATTTCACAAAATATTTTGATAAAGTCAGAAAAACCCTTTTTTCCTTAACATTTATCCCCAAGACGTTAAAACTGACCCACAAACCAAGTTGTAACTTAACTATGAGGAGGGTAATAACTTATGTAGGGTGAGTGAGCGGCAGAGTATTGTGTGGCAATGGTTTTGGTCCAAGTTATAAGGTATGGCTATTAAGCATCAGTATTATTCAATTATGCCCGAAAATTATGTAGGTATATAACTAAAAAGTGAGTGAATGCGTGGTCAGTGTTTAGCTACCCAGTCAGTCTTAAAAGCGATGTACGCGTAGGAAAAATAACAATGTGTTTTATTTTTTTATAGTAGCACAGAGTCTACAATTATTATATCCGATGTAAGTGTGTATCATGACAATGAGGAAGTTATCCTTACTATATATACTATATATACTATATATACTATAATATTATAAATCTGAAAGTGAGTTTGTTTGTTTGTTTGTTTGTTCCACCTTCACGCCGTAACTACTAAACCGATTGCTTTGAAATTTTGCAGACGTAAAGTTAGAAGTCCAGATTAAATAATAGGGTACTTTTTATCCCGGAAAAATGTGATATTCCCGAGGGAAAACAAAAATATTAGTATAGATGGCGCTGTGTGTATTCCTGCAGATGGCGCTTTGTGCCATCTAAAACAATTCAACGAATTACCTACTAATTGGAAATTTCACGCTTTAATCTATAGCGTTTATTTGGTGTTAATCTACACTTATTCAGTGCGCTTTTCGACTCATTTATTTGCTATTTTTTATGTAAAATACTTAAAAAACAACGTGGTAACGTTGTGTAGTAGTTACGCTACTTGGCGATAGATGGCGCTGAGTGTTTATAAAACGGGGTAGCGTTGTGCATTTAAAGTACTTTTATCGCTTTTAAATTTTGGTTCCTACCATTTTACATTGAATTGTGTATTTTATAGATTTTAGGTTGTTAAAGGTACATGAAATTGGTGTCTATGTAGTTGTTACGCTATTTTTTAAGTATTTTTCGCTTTTAAATTTTGGTTCTAACCATTTTACATTAAATTGCGTATTTTATAGATTTTAGGTTGTTAAAGGTACACAAAATTGGTGACTATGTAGTAGTTACGCTACTTGGCGATAGATGGCGCTGAGTGCTTTTTATTATAAACGGGTACGTTGTTTTTTAAGTATTTTTATCGGTTTTAAATTTTGATTCCTACCATTTTACATTGAATTGGGTATTTTATAGATTTTAGGTTGTTAAAGGTACACGAAACCATAGTGGCAACAATACTCAACAATTAGCAAATATATTGTACGCTGTTGTTTCAACGCTCGATAGATGGCGTTAGGATCGAGTTAGATGGCGCTATGGTTTCGTTACCGGCGAAAGTATAGGTTCCGAGCTTCCGTATCAACTATATTTTAGGGTACGCATCTAGCGCTTATATTGATTAATATTTGTTCGCTTTGTAGGTTTTATTAGTCAAGTGTTATTTTTTCTAGGTAGATATTTAAATTTAAAGTACTATAGAAATTTTTTTTCGTCGTTCTAATCTAAGACGCTTTGTTCATTGTTTACGTTGATTGATACAGTAGCTATATGAGTTAGGTTAGATTAGTGAAGTGGTTTATTTCTAAGTAGATGTCTAAAGTAGTTAGGTTTTCGATAATAAAACGTATAATATAGTTTACCACTCAGTTTTGGTTTAGCATTGCAAATATAACCCTTAAAGGAAATAGAAGTCTTTTAAATTAAAATGGGAGAAGGTATTTGTGGTAATGCGAAAATAACTTCTTCTGTTCCCTCACGCGGCTGAATCGATTTTGGTATAAATGTAGTTTGAGTCCTGGAAAAGCAAGGCTTTACCGCGGCAGAACTTCTCATTCCCACGGAAAAATCTAAAACGCGCGTTATAACCGAATTCCACGCAAGCGAACAGCTGTTTGTTTGTTTCCCTGTCTTAAACGGCAAAACGGAGGTACTTAACGTGATTTTTTAACTGAAGGTAGGTGAAGGGATGGGTAGTCACATAGGCTACGTTTTAACTTTTTGTGACGCGAGCGAAGCCGCGGGTAAAAGCTAGTATTGTATAAATCATTATATAACTTACAAAAATGCATCTTAAGGACCCTGACTTGTCCAATTATGAAATGACAGAAGTTATTTATGTCAAATCAATATGTTTTAGGCAAGGTTATACTCTAATGCTCAGTAGTTCTACAGTAGACATAACTACAAACAAACACATAGCCGAACAAACTATACAATACCTCTTTATTACATTTTTATTCGTTACAAAGTAATTTTCAAATCTGTCCACTCTCTCCTGCCTTGCACCATGTTCTAACCGCGTCCCAACAGACAGGTCCGTGAGCCAAGCTACCAACTGCACAGTGGTTAATTAAATTCAATCTACTGCCCGCCCACTGTATAAAACCATGCCGAATACACAGCCTTAATAATATTAACGTAGCTTGTAATAACTTGCAATTCCCACTTTATAGCTTCAAGCTTTTATTTTACTTTATATATTTTTTTCTGGTTTAATCAGTTTTTTTTCTAGGAAAAGTGTTTTTCTTTTTGTGATCCTCATTTAGACTGTTCTTTGACGAATAAGGGATTCAATTCATTGCGGAATACCTGTGGTTAATTCATGTTTAAAAAATATTAGGAACCATGCAAAGGCCGACTGTTTTGGTAATAAGTTAGGAAAAAGAAAATTTCTGCTAAATAGTAATTTAGTAAATTTTCGTCAAGTGACCTTTACATATTATTTTCTCAATATTAGCTAAAATTATTCACTACCTTCTAACATTAGGTTCAAAAACGTTTTATTCATATAATTATCCACCATTAAATATTATAAGGGGTTCTTGCTGAGAGCATTAATGTTATAGGTACCTACACAATTTAGTCTAGAATTTTGCAGTACTATAAAATTAGGCTGAGTAACACAGAGTGTATAGGCACAAAACACGCTAACTTTTTCTTAAAAGAAGTTAAGATATTTTTCTTTTTCCTGAACCTAGATCTTAGTGTGTGCACAGTTCACACTTCTCAACCCTTAGTATGTACGACTGTTATAATATTGTTCTATAACCTATTAGAGTAGGCAGAGAACAATATCACAAGTGACACGAGTCTGCCATACTTTTTTGCGTCACCCACATGCATCAATCTCTACAAACATCTTGTCGATTGAGGGCTTTTAGTAGTAGCAACAAAGTATTAAACCACACATGGTAGATACTCATACATTTTATGTCAAGTTCATTGGTTAACAAGCGAAATTTTATAGTACGGCTTTCGTCGTGTGACGGAGGTTACCGGAGGCCCAATTACCCCCCTCCCTAATCCCTAACCATCGTCTAATTATTATCTTCATCTGTACCGACTTTTTTTTTTTAAGGGCGGAAAATCATCGAATGACTGCTCCCGCCTGGGTGAGGCGGAAGGGAGTGTCAGACTCTTACTGACTAAAAACCACCCCGTTCCTTCTCCTGCACGTCGAGCCGGAGCCCCGGTTACCCGTTAGGTTCTCCGCGACTCCGAATCGGCATCGGCCCTATTGGGCCCCATCTGTGGTGGTCTGATGGCTCTTTGAGGCGCGCGCGGAACGCGACGCGCCGTACGCTGTACCGACTAGATGGAACGTAACGTACGAACTGGATCAAAACCGAATATTAATTATTCGATTCACATAATGAATCGTTAGCTGTCATGTCAAAAACCTTACAATTCAAAATCGTTGGTTTATTCATTGCTATGTATGTCTAACGTTAACAAAAGCCGCCTTAATTGGATTCGACTGCGTTGAGTGTTGGACATCAAATCAACATGTACCTACATACATATGTGCACACTATGTACCTACTGTAAAGTCAGTTGTTACGTCACTGCGTTACAAGAAAAAATAACATCTATGCAGTTCTGATAAAGTTGCTTTTAGATTCGAGAGGAAGCTTGTTTTATTTTCATCGGTTTAGGTTGAAAATTGATTGGTTTTTAGAAGTTTTGTGGTCATTGAGTGCAATAATTGGATATGTATTACGTTCATTGGACTGTCGTAGTGGCTCAGTACTCACCTCTCATGGCCGCGGGTTCGAAACTTACCAACGGCAAGTACCAATGTTACTTTCCGACTCATATGTACTTTCTAAGATTATTTAGACACCACTGACTAACGGCGAAGAAAAACATCGTGAAGAAATCAATCCTTCAAATTTTTTATTATACCTAAGTCGAAATCGCCAACCTGCATTGAGCAAGCGTAACGATTAATGCTCAAACCTTCTTTCTCTATGCAAGTGCGGCTGCCTGGCAAGGGGTTTGATTCCCGGGTGCCAGACTCCGTGCTACCACTGAGATTTTTTTTTAAATCCAGTAGTTCTTTGCCCGACCCGGGAATCAAACCCGAGACCCCTTGACCGGCAGTCGTACTTGCGACCACTCGGCAACGAGGCAGTTTTATTATGAGTCCCATGTAATAGGAGGTAACAATCAATCAATCCTTCAAATTTTTAATTATACCTAAGTCGAAATCGCCAACCTGCATTAAGCAAGCGTAATGATTAATGCTCAAACCTTCTTTCTCTATGCAAGTGCGGCTGCCAGGCAAGGGGTTCGATTCCTGGGTCGGGCAAAGTATTACTGGGTTTTTAAAAATCTTCAGTAGTAGCACGGTATATGGGAATAGTCTCACCCCCTATTACATGGGACTCATAACATAAATAGTGAATAGCGGGTGTTACATTGTACAGTGGCATTAAGTGCCGAAATGTGCACCTCTGCCTACCCTTTCGGGGATTAAAAGGCGTGATGTAATGTTATGTAATTCATAACATATTTTCTCCGACTGCGCTTAATCCTTTATTACTTACCTATTGCTATTCTAAAAGTCAATTCATAATGCTTCATTAGTTCTAACACACGATTTATCACTAGATCAGTTTCCGTATGCATTGCATACACGTTTCAATTATAATTTGATTTACACTGTTGAGATAACGTAGTTCAATTTGTCATTAGTCCGATGCAATTACCGTCACTCACCTAGCCCTGCCATTGGAGAATAGTATGTGTGTAATACGATATACGGTAGCATTTAAAAATGCATTATAATGGAACTCATTTAAATTCGTGATATGTATAATTAGCCTATGTCCTCCTCCGAACTTCCGATTACAGGTATCTGCAACGGCTAAGAGGATAAATTATAATGAGTCTGAATCGTATAAACAAACTTAGTGTCGTATTTTATATAATACATAGGTAGTAGTTGCAATTTTTATGTATTGTTAGTACATCACTCAGTCGCGTAATTTTTGTATTGATTAGAATGGGGATGATGACAGGGTATGAAAATTAAAAATATAATTAGTCCGTAAGTTAGATAATTAAAAAATATTAGACACGTATTTTTTTATTTTGTCGTATAATAAAACAATACATAGATAAAACGAATCAAAGTTTAGGAGTGGGGGCTAAAACGTCATTTCTTAGTATAAAATGTACTGAGAAGTGACGTCATGCGACATTTCAAATCAATATATCTTCGAAACTATTCGTTTCCGTAAGAAAATAAAAATACGTGTCTAATGTTTTTCAATAATCTACCAGACGGACATTAAAATAAAAATTAGTCGTCTACCCTATTCATTTCATTCTTTTCATTCATTAGAATTTATCTAGTTCAACAGTCTATAAGTAGCCACTGCTGAGCAAAGGCGTCTTTTCACACGGAGAAGATTTGAGTATTAACCTCTTGACTCGAGATATATAAGACACAATAGAATATACCTTGTGTTCCGCGTAGAGTTACGTTCCAATATACTACGGATTAACCACCACGCTTGCTCGATGCGGGTTGGCGATTTCAAACTTATAATCGGAGCTCAGGTTTCCTAACGATATTTTTTCTTTTTTCAGTTTTTTTTGTCAGTGATTGTCAGTGGTGTCTAAATAATTCCAGAAAGTAGGTATTTAATACTCAGTCGAAGTCACATTGGTACTTGCCGTGCGTGCCGAAGCGGGCGTTTTAGAGCTCCGGGCCACGACGACATTCTTTATGATTATAATTTTAGTTAAAACCAGATAAAACATAACATAATATCACGCTTTTCTTCCCCGAAGGGGTAGGCAGAGGTGCACATTACGGTACTTAATGCTACTGTACAATGTAACACCCATTTTTCACTATTTATCTTATGAGTCCCATGTAATAGGAGGTGAGCCTATTGCCATATACAGGGCACTATTCCAGACTCCGTGCTACTACTGGGATTTTTAAAAAACCCAGTATACTTTCCCGACCCGGGAATCGAACCCGAGACCCCTTGTTCGGCAGTCGTACTTGCGACCACTCGGCCAATGAGGCAGTCGTAAAACCAGTTTAAAAAAAGGACGAATTCCCGGTAAGACATAATTCGTTACGCAACAGATCGCTGGAGATACTATGGAAGTAAGTTAGTGAACAACTGTGAGTGTTGAGTTAGTGTACGTGATCAAAACTAACAACTCACATAACGTAAGTTTCAACAACCATGCTTGTCATTTTATTAAGTGTTTTTATTCTTTCATTGCTCTTATTTTTCGCGTTATTTACTTCAAGTTGTTGTGGTTTAAATTGTTGTTGTAAATTGTAACTGTTAATTATACTAAACATTTTTTTTAAAAAAAAAAACGTTGCCCCACACTAGGATTTTCTCCTGTGTCGTGGGTGCGTTTACAAACATACAAGTTCACATACACAAATACACCCAGACCCGACACAACAATTTGTGGATCACACAAAGTGTTGTCCCGTGCGGGAATCGAACCCGCGACACGTTGCACGGCAGCCGGTTGCCCAGCCACCGCACCAACCGTGCAGTCAAAACTAATAATTTATACCTATTTTTCTGGAAAGTGTGGGTAAAGGTGAACCAATGTGCTAGCCACAGAAATATTTAAGTATACCTATGGTATTAGTTTAAACTGTCAAACACCAAGCGGTCACCGGTGACCGCGACCTATTGTTCTTTAATTGTGTCTATAAATACGGTACTCGACGAGTTAATGTCAAACGCTAGGAACCTTTATTGACAAAAATCTTTTAATTGTTGACCCAACTCATCCCACCTGAAAATCTTCACAGCTCGAACGTTAAAAAATTTGCAAAGGTTACTTTATTTCCCTGAAGACGATAGTTGGTTATTCCGACATGCAAAGTGAAATTATTTTCGGGAGTCGAATAAATTATAAGTAGGTACGCATAAAAATCCAGTAATTATACATCGAAACAATTTCTTTAAAACTTTATAACTCCAGTCTATTCAATATTCATTGGTTTTAAAAAAGTTCCAATTCATAGCCTTATGAATACCAAAGAAACGTAGGCACTAAGACTTAAGTTCTTTTATAAAAACTAAGAACTGAACTGTAAAAACCTGAAGAGGTTTTAATGACAGTAAAAAAATAACCTCAGAGGTACATTCGGTCAGTTCAAAAGTTTCCACCTTGTCGAAAATTAAAAGTTATTTCATCCACACACCGGCTGCAAAAAGAAAGATTCCGTTTGTGGCAGACCTAAAAAAACTAAAACCTTTGAGCACCTGTTGAGTTTACTTTTTACTTTTAGTGTGTGGGATGCCTAAGCCTGACCCGTGCAGCTTTCTTTGTACCTTTTAAAACATAGTTTTTATATTCATAAAACTTTAGAATCTTTTTGCTAAGTCAATCGTAAAGAAATTGGTTTTACACAAACTATCTTTTTCGAAATCTTTTGGCCTGCTTAAAGATGTTGAGTGCTCTTTAACTATACAATATACAATTATATATAGTCAAACATATATTCGTATGCGAGATATGTCCACACACGTGCATCTTGAGGTAGTGCACACATACATATATATCACATTCTAATAACATTTTTTTTTATATTTGAGGTCTGACGTTTGACCATTATCTCGCCTGGTGACAAGCGATGATGTAGTCTACGATAGGGCACGTCGTCCCATAAGCAACCTATTCACTCGGGCCTTGAAAATACCCAGGTTATACCCCTCAGGAAATACAGACTCTGGCAGAGAATTTATACTCCTTAGCAGTACGCACAAAGAAGCTTAATGCGAAGCGCTTCGTGCGTATGGGTGAGACATCTACTATGAATAAACATTTCTTTCTTATGAAAATTATCAATTATCCCAAACTCCTTCCCCTGTAACTGATATACAAAACATATTATTTGATAGTTGTCCTCTGTTAAACGTAAACTTGGATGTCTGGTGGCCACTTAGTCCGGATCCGAAACATTAAGAGAGCTCGCAAAGTCGTTAGGAGATGTTTATTGGACGGACGTGAATGTCTCCATTCGGGATTTGCGAATAATGTACATACGATACGTGAGAATGTAGTGGCTTGCGACGACTATAATATAGGTGTCTTTATTATCTCTGAGTAAAGATATAATTGATTAACTAAGCTTTGCCCACGTGGTCAAAACGACAACAATTATGGACTAAATCAAATTTTTCTCAGTGATCATGTCATTAGCTATTGGTGTAAATTCAACAAAAACATCAATTTTTTTTGACTTGTAATAATATCAGACAAATTAATGATGATACAAGAAAATAGCTTTTGTTCTGTGATATCCTCTTCAACCATCTACTTGCGAACAGATAAACAATGTCCGGACAGATGTTCAAAATGCTTAATTTCCCTTGTTTAGTAAAATCAGATTTTAGATTGCTGCTTACACACGTAATACTTTTCAACGATGAACTCGACAAAATTCTAGAACCATTTATGAGCAGGAGCAGCATTCTGCAATTTATGACACGGCGGTCGTTGGGCTCCCACCAGCTATTCGAGTTCGCGCCCAGTGAATGCTCTGCCGGGGTGCGCTGGGCGATCTACGCGCACTTTCTTCCTTGAATATAAGTCTCTAGAATAGCTTGAAATTGGTTGAGGACCTCGTCAAACAGTTACGTGAATAAGCCGACACATTATCACAAATACTGATAAAAGTGTCATCGTTAGGCTACTGTGCATGTTGTGACACCTTAAAATGTTGTGCATTTAAAATTTATTACAATGTAAGTGCTTAGATATAAGACCTAATGTAGCAACTACTGGTTGTCCAAATTATAAATAAACTAGCGGCCCGTCCCGGCTTCGCACGGGGGGGACTTAAGATTTTTTACATAGTTTTACGTTTTATTTATATTTATTCTCAGCGACCTGCCCTCCGTTGTCGATGTCGCGTCTTAAGGTAACCGATTGAACAATTCAAAAGTTATCTAGAGCAAACTTTTATAAGGATTGAACCATTCATTAAAACGATTGTTATGGGTAAACTATAAAAGGTAGACATATGCTCTCGCGGACTTTTTTAAAAATAATGTTAAGATAAACAATTCATCTATAGAACATTTTTGTATAACTTTAACTATATGCTCAGCGCACGCCACGGAAGGCCACAGAAACGATACTTTTCCCTCGTTTTTAAAACATTTTTGGCTACTGCTCCACAACTATAGGACCTAGCGTGATATTATATAGCCTATGTTACTTCTGAATAATGCAGCTTTCGAATGGTGAAAAAATTATTGCAATCGGTTCAGTAGTTTTTGAGTTTATTCATTACAAACATACAAAAATACAAATCTTTCCTCTTTATAATATTAGTATAGATAAATAAATTATCATTAATTCAGTTTCTAGATGTTTGTTTTCAAAACCAAACACCGAAACACAGACTTCCACAACAAAACCGCATCATCAGGACCTAAAACACCAAACAAGCAAAGTGAACAGGTATTTGATCAATCAAAATGTTCTATCACGATATTCTACTATCAGGATATTGAAATAGCGTAATGCGATTCCCTGATGAGTGTGTCGCGTCATCGGCTGCCAGTCATCAATCAATGTCCCCAATTAATTACCTATCTAATGCGAATGATCCATTTTGTTTTGATAGCTGTGTTGTCAGTTCCTAAAGTCAGTATAGATAGGGAATAAGCCTAATTGGTTTAATTAAAGGTGAATTCGACTTTGTTAGGTAGGATGAATTTTTGGTTTAAGAAAATTGTGTGGTTTACATTAAAATGATGAATAGTTTACTTAGCTTGAGCTCTAGTTAATAAAAAACTACAAACTAAAACTTATTTTAGATTAAATAATTAATTATATTATCCTATAATTTGACATAGATACTTTCATTATGATATGTATCAAAATTTATGATTCAATTAAGTGTTGGAGTTTTATGTAACAAAGTCTAATGTAATTTTCATCGATCCCGACCCATCAGTAAGCACTGATTTTGTAAAAACGAAATTGTCTATTTATCTTTCCTAATGTCACAAACAACACAGCGATTTATAATATAACTAGCGACCCGCCCCGAATTCGCACGGGTGCAATATGTACATACAAACCTTCCTTAAGAATCACTCTATCTATTAAAAAAAACCGCATCAAAATCCGTTGCGTAGTTTTAAAGATCTAAGCATACATACGGACATACAGCGAAAGCGACTTTGTTTTATACTATGTATTGATTATTGTCAATTTGTCTTTGACGATAGTTAAATGTGTGATACAGGTAACTTATTTCTCTCACCACAAGACAACATAATAATCACTCGAGTTATAAGCCCCAGCCACGTAGTACCATAATGCAAAGATATATCTTTATATATATAATTCTGCTGTGCGTGTGTATGTCATTGAACTCCTACTAAACGGCTTGACCGATTTCAATGAATTTTTCTGTATGCATTTGGGTGGCGCCCTGGATGGTTTAGATTCACAAATCAGCCCGGCAGATGGCGCTGCAGTCGATGTCTAGGTTATTTAAAAATTAATATCTTGAAATATTGTAATAATATGCAGGGCAACGTCTGTCTGGTCCGCTAGTTTATTTCTATTTATCCTGTATTTATATATATATATTTATAAGACTTCAAAACCCTAAAAACTAGAGTAATTAAGGTTTCAACAAAAACTAGATCAAACTTAAGGTTAAGTAAGTGACATAATTAGAAAAAAGTCTACGAGAAATTAATAAAACTGATATAAAATTTAGTACCTATCCAAAAGCGATTTTAAAACTTTTTGTATCACAATTTGATGATTATAAATGAATGGATACTTTAGTGTTTAAGTTTAGTTACTTCTAGGTATCATAATTCCAATATCTAATGCCTCTTTGATTAAAATTTTAATAAATTCAGTTTTTTAGAGACAAAAAGCTATTTTTCACCAGTGTGTTACATAATGTAACGTAGGCACACTTTTTGGCATTTATACCGGGTACAATTTTAATGTTTTTTTTTGCAAATTAGAAACTCAAATAATACTTTGCGCGAGTCGGGAATCGAACCAATGAAACTACTAGAACAACGCGGTTACCTTAAATCTACTTCTAGAACATTAATCAATAACTCGATACGAAACCTATGTAGGTCCAGCAAACATCGAAACTTGGGAATTTGAACCTTATATCTAGGAGATTTGAATAAAAATCCCTTTCAAATAAATAGACTGAGGATATACAAAACCAGGTACACAAAATCACTGTTTTAAATCTGAAGTTAGACGCAGGAGTAATTAAATCGTACTGTAAAGGGTGACCATTATTTTCACTGTTTATAAGACATATTTTAATGGAGTATCAATCAAGTAGGCGCAAATATTTCGGTGCAAATATTGAACTATCCAAAACATTTTTGAGCCGACATAAAATGTGACAAAAAAATTTTTGTTTCAATAAATGAAAAATATTTTTTATACAAATAAAAATAGAAAAATGAAAGGTATATGTTTGAAAGCTTTTTTTATAAATAGTGATGAATTTGAGTTCAAAGGAAAACCAAAATGTA